ATTTCCCATGAAAGAAATCTTGAATCTGACCCGTTATCCAATCCTATATTACTTGCATGATTTACCTTCTTCTAATGATTAATGTACTAATGCACTCTATCAAGACTGAGGACAAACTTCATCCTAAGAATTTGACTTGTAGTTGAAAACAATAATAATATGATCGAATTTCCCTTTCACTTTCAATTTTTTTTTCTAATTCTAGAAGGAAAAGAATATGCATTGCACAAAGTTGACATCACATTTAGGAAGTCAGTGGAGAGACCACAAGAGCCTTTTAACCAACAAATTCCTTACTCTTTTGACTCTAAACCCTTGCATGAGTCCCAAGTAGTGATTTGTGGCGATCAACATCATCTTTCTAGTATCATGCTCCACTTGAAATATCAAATTATCTTCTCCACTTCCACTAATTAAGCATAGCCCTCATATCTTAATTTCTACAATCTCAATAGCAGGACACCTAATCAACAGCTCACCATCCTAAAGATCTCGTTTGGTTTGATAAACTCTTTAGGATGCCTTCAACTTACCATTTAGCCCTTGCATAAGCTTCGATCTATTGGTTCTTGAGAAGGGTATTATCGGCATATTGAAATACCTTTGTCCTAAGCCTCATTATGAAAGTAGACAAGTGTGTGTTAGGTAGATGTCCATTTACGCAATGACATGTTTTTTTTCGGACCTTTATTGACTCTATTCAGTTTATGAGAGATGTGCCAAGATTTTTATGCAAGTCCAACACAGGGAGGAGATTATATAAAAGGAGACCTCCATTGTTTAAATGAGGATACATGCATATTGAGCTTGGTAAACATGGGAAGGTTCTCACTCTATCAGCTAGTGATTCTATTTGCCTTCTTTCACCTAATTATTTCCTCCAACGGTATATTTAGTCCTTCATCAAGTAATTGTGTTGTTAATCCACTTTTATTGGTTTATTGACCATTTTTGTTACTTTTGTGCTCTAGGGTATCAAAGAATGTTTCAAGGTACTCTAGACCTTCAAGCTTTCAATCCTCAGGTACTTCAGTTGCATTTTCTTAATATTTGATCTCGACATAGTTGCATTTTCTTGGTGGTATCATTTTCTGTTTTCTAAGCAAATGCCAAGAAGTGATTTATGGTGAAATATAGAAGAACCCTATTGATATACTACCGCTAACCATTTCTTTTGTAATTATTTGTTGCATTGTTGTTGATGAACACAGCGCAATTTCGAAGAGGGAACAATGGAAGGGATGTTCAGCGAAAGAATGAATAGGGAGATTGAAAATGACTATCCTGGATCGGGTGCCAATAATCGTCACACACCAAAACCGCCTGGAAGAAAAATGAAGTGATTTCTATTAGAAAACGTCGAAGGAGGAAATACTGTATTATCTAACATAACGTGCTACAAATTTGCAAAATAGCAAAGTAGTTAGTTCTAGTGAAAGTTGAACTGAATGTCAGATTATGATGTAGTGATGCAACTATTTATGCTTCTGTCTGAAATCCGAATGTTTTTAAAATTTCAAGCTTAAGTATGACTTTTCAGTATGAATATCCAATATTGTGGACTTTCTTCTTCAGCCACACCTAATCACTGCAGACAAAGTTTTTTTTTTTTTTTGGTAAAGCATGTACGTTGAGTTGTTAAGGTTTGGCTCCTAAGTTTGGCATTTTTTATCATAACGATAATGTCGATGATGTTGCCATTGTCGATTTCAACTATGTTCACATAGGATGCAACGAAACTTTTCTCGCAATATGTAACTGAAAGCATATCATTTCAAGGTGGTAAATGTGTTATTGACTTCTTAAAGGAGATCAATGTATTGATTAATATGTCACTCGGTTATTCCATTAGCAATCCTATTTTGAATGCTCAGGCACGGCTTAGTTTTTTCATGTTTGAAAAAATTCATGGTCTAAAGTGTAACTCATTCCTAAAAATGATGCAAAGTTTAACTCCAAAAACTACTGTGAGTCTGTAAAGAGCACATTTATGGGCTGTTTGTTTTGCAGGAGAAAAAGGAAGAAGATTTCCATGACCTAACACACCCATCCTGGAAAATAAAGTGCCAAAATATTTTTCTTTTCTGGTGTTCGGTTCAATAAAAAATTTATAGAAAACGAGTGAAGAAACCA